CCCACTAAGCCATGCCCACAGAACCAGTAGTAAAAAAAATTGAATTTCACCACTGAGCTGTGGATAACAACAATGGCCTCTGAGTCAATCTCCAGAGCCAAACACTGGAAGGCCTAGAATCTCTCTCTTTCCTAGTGACTTTTTCACGCTTTGTAGGAAGCCTCTCTCTCTCACACGCTTATCCCAGGCTCTGCAAGAGCATTTGTTGGTCACTACATGGTGCCCATCTGTAGAATTGGTGTGGGATCTTTAACACAGACAGAACCTGATGGTGCCCTTCTGGTGGTCATTTTCTACAGAAATCATTTTATTCCCATTATATTCACAAATACTGATTTATTTTGTGGGAGGGAGGGAAGAGTTAGCGATTGTGTCTCCTTAGATGAAATATTTTCTTTTTCAACCATCCTCCAGGACTCAGATATTTTTTTTTTGCCAGCCTGAAAAATTATTTATATTTTACCATTCTTTTTTTAATTATTATATTTGACAGAAGCAACATTTAATGTCAGTCGGGGAGGGGGGAAGGCGGCAATCTTCAGTGCATACAAAAATAGACCTTTTTTTCTTTTTATAAAAACGTGAATATTAAGAGGCACCCCTCCCTTCATGATTAAAACCTGACATTCCTCACGCCCCCCACCCCAGGATTAATAAGGCAACCAATTTAACATGCAGTCACGTTCCACATATTTAAAAAGGCACCGAGGACAGCTCAGAAAAGTTACAGACCTGCACCCAGGAATTCTCCCTCCCGAGAGAGAGAAATGGAGTTCTCTCTGCTTAGCGGGCTTGGAAAACGGGGCGCCTTTTCCCACCCACCCCCCTTTGCTATGAATTAAGTTTTCAAGAACGCGCAAAGGAAAATATAGCCAAGGGGAAATAATTGCTGCGGAGGGAAAGGATGAATTATTTTGAAACCAGGAATTCCCCCCACCCGCAGAGGAATAAATATTGCCTGTTGTCTCGCCCAGCCCGCATTGCACTCGCTCTCTTGTCTCTCAGTCCGACACCGATTTTTTCAAGTAAAAGTTTTCCGCAGCCGTCCCGACGACGGAGACTTGCGCTGGCCGCTCCCCGCCTTGCGCCGCGCCAAGTCCTGCGGCTCCCGGCTCTAAAGTGCACACGGTCCTCCCTCCGTCCTGTTGGCCCGTCGCCGGCTGCCCCTCCGGAGAGAGCCCCCTTCCCCAGGCGGCGCTTCCCAAGCGCTCCCGCGATCCCGAGGGCAGCTTCCGCGGTTACCTGCCGGGGAAAGTGAGCGCGGGGTCCAGGCGCAGCAGCCCGGTGCCCGAACCAGCCGTCCGAAGCCTCAAGGCGTCCGCGTCCGAGCGCCGCACGAAGGCAGACCGCCTGCGCCGGGGCCGGGTGTAACCTGGGGCGCCCCGACGGCTGCGGCGGCGGCACCGGCACCGGCGACCTTGCGCTCCTTCTGCCGCAGGTGGATCTTGGTGTGCCGCTTGCGCTCATCGCTGCGGGCGAACTTCCTGCCGCAGAAGTCGCAGGCGAAGGGTTTCTCGCCGGTGTGCGTGCGGATGTGGGTGGTGAGGTGGTCGCTGCGGCTGAAGNTGAGTCAACCCTGAGCCGGTGAGATTTGAACCGCTGAACTGCTGATCTAGCAGTAGCCTGCAGTGCTGCATTTAACCACTGCGCCACCTCACCTCAATCACCTCCAAGGTGTGACTTTACTCTTAAGTTGACCCTGCTTTCTTAATTGTTCTTGTCTTCTGGCAGCTCCACACATGTGCACACTGGGAACAGGAGCCAGCTGTTCTTCAGCCTCACTGCTGTCCAGCTCCCTCTCTGCCTCCGATACAGAGCCCTTGTCTGAGCTTTCCTCAACCCCCGGGACTGCCCCAGGTTCCTCCCAAACCTCCTCACTGTCCGACTCTGCTGCCAGCTCCACTGTCCATGGCGGGCCACAACATTTCAAAGGCCCTTAAATCTCTGCTGCTCAGAATCAGGTACCAAGACTAGTGTCAGGGTTCCAAATATCACCCAAAATTACCTGACAACTAGCATCAATAGCACAGCATCGTGCTCTTTGAAGTAATTTTCATCAACATGTAATTTTCATTTAAAAAATTACTTGCCTATCCGGCTTCTGAAGCAGCCTCTCCCCACGTGTGGCTTTGTTTATTTCCACAGCCTGCTTAAAATTAGCTTGCCTGCAGTCATGGAACAGCAGTGAGTCAAGGGCCACCCCCGCCGGTACGAACACCGGGTCTATTTATTGCAACTGGGGGAAATCCTGTGTGCTCAGACCAAGCACAACCACCGTAGATATGGATCCACCCTTGGGGTAGTTTTTTCCCTCCAGTATTGTCAGGGGAATTTGGATGGTGCTGTTGTGGCCCACCAGTGTAGCTGGCAGCAGTTTCGGACAGGAAGGAGGCTGGGGAGGAAACTGGACCAGTCCTGGAGTCTGGGGAAGGCTCTGATGAGGGCTCTGTGTCAGAGGCAGAGAGAGGGCCAGGGCTGTCCGACAGTTATCAGCTGCTTTCAGAGTCAGACATCAGTGAGGCAGATGAACAACTGGAGCCTGTTCCCAATGTGCACATGCACAGAGTTGCCAGATGAAGGGAACAGCTAAAGAACAGGGGTTGACTTGGGATTAAAGCCACAGTTGAATGATGAATGGCCCCTCCCAGAGAAAATAAAAGAGGAGCGAAAGGGGAGTGGAGTTTGCAGGAGACAATTATTTCACTTAATTGGTTTGTGACTCCTTGCCAAGTTTTGCAGATATCGGCCCGTCAGAGCTCCAAGCCAGATAAGGTCTGTGACTGGAAATCCTTCCTCGAAAGACTTTGCTGAATGTGAATGAGCAGAATTCATGGGTCAGAACAGGTGCTTTGCCACATAAGCATGACCACAGAGTCTTCCTGCCATATTGGCCACAGAGTCTTCCTTCCTATGTCAGTCTTTCCCAAGTTGACAGGCGCTCCTGGCTTTGGCACTGCACAGGCTCTACACCTCCCCTTTTGGTACCAACTTGGCTATACATTCAGATTAAAGAAGCTGTGGCAGGGGTGAAATTCAGCAGGTTCTGACAGGTTCTGGACAACCGGTAGTGGAAATGGTGAGTATTTTGGACTTTGGAGATCCGGCAAATACCACCCTGGCTGGCCCCAGAGTGGGGTGGGAATGGGGATTTTGCAGTATCTTTCCCCTGCCATGCCCACTAAGCCATGCCCACAGAACCAGTAGTAAAAAAAATTGAATTTCACCACTGAGCTGTGGATAACAACAATGGCCTCTGAGTCAATCTCCAGAGCCAAACACTGGAAGGCCTAGAATCTCTCTCTTTCCTAGTGACTTTTTCACGCTTTGTAGGAAGCCTCTCTCTCTCACACGCTTATCCCAGGCTCTGCAAGAGCATTTGTTGGTCACTACATGGTGCCCATCTGTAGAATTGGTGTGGGATCTTTAACACAGACAGAACCTGATGGTGCCCTTCTGGTGGTCATTTTCTACAGAAATCATTTTATTCCCATTATATTCACAAATACTGATTTATTTTGTGGGAGGGAGGGAAGAGTTAGCGATTGTGTCTCCTTAGATGAAATATTTTCTTTTTCAACCATCCTCCAGGACTCAGATATTTTTTTTTTGCCAGCCTGAAAAATTATTTATATTTTACCATTCTTTTTTTAATTATTATATTTGACAGAAGCAACATTTAATGTCAGTCGGGGAGGGGGGAAGGCGGCAATCTTCAGTGCATACAAAAATAGACCTTTTTTTCTTTTTATAAAAACGTGAATATTAAGAGGCACCCCTCCCTTCATGATTAAAACCTGACATTCCTCACACCCCCCACCCCAGGATTAATAAGGCAACCAATTTAACATGCAGTCACGTTCCACATATTTAAAAAGGCACCGAGGACAGCTCAGAAAAGTTACAGACCTGCACCCAGGAATTCTCCCTCCCGAGAGAGAGAAATGGAGTTCTCTCTGCTTAGCGGGCTTGGAAAACGGGGCGCCTTTTCCCACCCACCCCCCTTTGCTATGAATTAAGTTTTCAAGAACGCGCAAAGGAAAATATAGCCAAGGGGAAATAATTGCTGCGGAGGGAAAGGATGAATTATTTTGAAACCAGGAATTCCCCCCACCCGCAGAGGAATAAATATTGCCTGTTGTCTCGCCCAGCCCGCATTGCACTCGCTCTCTTGTCTCTCAGTCCGACACCGATTTTTTCAAGTAAAAGTTTTCCGCAGCCGTCCCGACGACGGAGACTTGCGCTGGCCGCTCCCCGCCTTGCGCCGCGCCAAGTCCTGCGGCTCCCGGCTCTAAAGTGCACACGGTCCTCCCTCCGTCCTGTTGGCCCGTCGCCGGCTGCCCCTCCGGAGAGAGCCCCCTTCCCCAGGCGGCGCTTCCCAAGCGCTCCCGCGATCCCGAGGGCAGCTTCCGCGGTTACCTGCCGGGGAAAGTGAGCGCGGGGTCCAGGCGCAGCAGCCCGGTGCCCGAACCAGCCGTCCGAAGCCTCAAGGCGTCCGCGTCCGAGCGCCGCACGAAGGCAGACCGCCTGCGCCGGGGCCGGGTGTAACCTGGGGCGCCCCGACGGCTGCGGCGGCGGCACCGGCACCGGCGACCTTGCGCTCCTTCTGCCGCAGGTGGATCTTGGTGTGCCGCTTGCGCTCATCGCTGCGGGCGAACTTCCTGCCGCAGAAGTCGCAGGCGAAGGGTTTCTCGCCGGTGTGCGTGCGGATGTGGGTGGTGAGGTGGTCGCTGCGGCTGAAGCTGCGCATGCAGATGCGGCACTGGAAGGGCTTGTGGCCCGTGTGGATGCGCAGGTGCCGCGTCAGCTCGTCGGAGCGCGAGAAGCGCCGGTCGCAGCCTTCGGCCGGACAAGCGTGGGGCCGCTCGTGGAGCGGGGTCTTGCTGGGCCGGTTGGGGTACTTGCGCGGCCTCAGGATGGGGCGTAGCGGCAGGCTGCCCGGGCCCCCGTAGGCACCCGACGCCAGGCGCGCACTGACCGCCGTCCCTGAGGAGGGCCCTTCGCTCAGCCCGCTCGGGGGTGCGCCCAGCGTGAAGTTGCGGATGGTGGAGAGAGGCGTGAGCGGCGGCGGGACGCGCACCGAATCCAGGGCGCAGGGAAAAGGCTTGCGCTCCGGCGGGCCGTGGAAGTCGCGCTGGCTGCACGGCGGCGGCGGTGGCGGCGGCTGGAAGAAGCCCGCGTACTCCGGGATCATGGAGAAGAGGCCGGCGGGGTCTGGTCCCACCGACCCCACGCTCTTGGGGGAGTGGTGGTAGGAAGGGGGCGGCGGATAGGATCCCGTTGAGGCGGCCAGGAAGGGCGAGGAGCCGTCGGACGGCGCCGGCTGCTGCGCCTGGCCTTGATAAAGCTCCCCGCAGGCGGAGTAAGGCGGCGGCGGCGGCTGCCCCTGCGGCGAGTAGAGATGCTCCAGGTCCCCGGCAGCCAGCGCCATGGCGCATCCGTGCCCCGCGGGGCTGGATCCGGCGGTGGAGGATGGAACCGCCGCGGCAGAGGCCGGGGATGCTGTCGACGGCGCGGCCACTCCCTGCAGGATGCCCGCGCTGACCAAGTTGAGGATGCCGTCGGCCGCGTAGCAGCTGGCGCCGGGATACGGAGGGTCGATGGAGAACTTGCCCATGTAGGTGAAGGATTGGCTACGCGGAGGCGGCGGCGCGAAACCGCTGCAGGCGTATTGCAAGTCCAGCGTTCGTTTGTCGCTCATGTCAGCACCGATCAGGCCATCTGGAGGACGGAGGGAAGAGAAAGGTCGTCACCACCGCGCAGCCGGAGCTCTCCTTGGGATACCCCCTCCCCCGCGCCCAGACAGCCTTGGCTGCTGCGCAATTTAGGATCGCTATGCGCTTGAAGCCAGGCGGAGGGTTTAAGTTCTCCAGCCCGCCCGCCCTGCGCTGGCTCCTCTTCCCTTTAGCCGACCAGCGCCCGGGTTAGGTGATCTGGCCCTCCAAGCACAGGTCCTTTCCCTGCGCCCGATCCTACAAGCTCTCAAGTTCTGACCCTTAGGGGCAAAGAGGACTCGAAGTTCCGCCACCCAGGCTGAGTCCACAGTGAAAAGCGGAGTTCGGTGATCGCAGAGATTTGGCTCTCAGCTCATATAGCGGCCCCCGGACCCAAGGCGGCCGTGCGATTACTACTAGTTGGAAGCTGCTCGTTGGTCCCAGCTTCTTGGGCAGAAACCCGAAGCGGTCTCGAAGGTCCGGACTTTGGAGGCGACCAGCGCGCCGCTGCCGCCGCTTTAGGAAGGCTCCAGAGAAAGGGGCCAGCTGAAGTCCGCCGGTGCCCGTCAGTGGGCGCGGGAGTCCGGCCGCCCCGTCCACTTATACTTCCCCCTCCTCCCCCGTGGGCGCCCCCGCCTTCGGTTCTTCCCCTCCCCGGTCATGCCAAGGCCGAAGGCCCCGCGGGAGAAGGGAAGGGGCACTTACCGCTGAGCTGGTCAAACGGTCCGCCCAGGTCCACGCTGGGAAAACCGATGACTGACGGCGGCAGGGCGTCTTCCGTGGGATAAAGGCCTTCGGGCAGGTGCACCAGCCCGCTGAGGGTGACGGGGATTTTGTCGACTGCCTTGGCGGTCATCCTGGAGTGAAGGAGCCCCCCTCCCCAACCTGGTCCAGGGGCCGCTTATTCCCCCAGGGAACGGGCCGGGCCGTCTTTTCCCCCCACGGAGGGTGGGGTGGGGGCTGAGATGCTTATCTAGGGCAAGGGGTGGGCGGGGGGCTCCTGGAAACAAGTGGGGGAAGCCACATGGGCCAAGCGCCGACAGCGGGGCTCCAGCGCTCCGTCCGCTCCCTCGTTGCGCTCTTTTTGGATCGCTTGCAGCTACCGGGCAACTGCCAAGTCCGCGCCAAGTATTTATGGGGCGGAGGGTGAATGCCGCGACGTCACTGCCCATATAAGGACTGAGGAAGAGGGGAAGGGCGGGGGCTCGCCGTCACGTGGCCAATTAGCACGGAGCGCCCGGGGGCGGGGTGGGAGGGGGGCTGGAGCCCCACGCGGGTCCGGGCATGAGAGCGCAGGGTGGCCGGGGCCGGTCCGGAGATACGGCGAGGGGGGCGAGTCCGGCCATGCGAGCCCCGCCAAACAAGGGCAATATCCGGCTCCACCCGCGCTGCCTTTAAGCGGAGCCTTCCGGGGAAAAGCGGGGGCGACCGAGGAAGAGGCGCGACCCTCCCGCCCCCTGGCCTGGCCGCCCGCCCGCCCGCCTCTCCCGGCGGCCGAGGAGTCGGGATGGGCTGCCGCTGCTCACCTACCCACGCACCCCCGGCGACTGGAGCTCCCGCGACCCCTCTGCAGGGCGCTTGGGCAAGGGGCGTAGAGCGGGCGAGGGGCGCCCGCTTGGAGTGCCCGAATAAGAGAAAGGGGCCAGCCGGCTGTGCCTATTGAGCTGGACAGCTCCGGTTGGTCGGGTAGGTGAGCATCCTGCAGCGGTGCCGGCTGGCTGACTTCCCCAGGGGCTACTACCGGGCGCTGCCCCTTTGGGGTGTAGACGCTGCTTTTCCTCCGGGGTGGCTCCTGAGGATGGGCGAATCTCCGCGTCTCCCACGGGCTTCCGAAAGACCCAGCCTCCTGCTCCTGCAACTATTACTAAGCTGTTCCTTCTCCCAAAGGAGCGGCCGTCTTGGCATGCTCAGAGGCGCTCTCTACCTTGGACTCACGGGCGACTCACCTCCTCCCTCCGCCCGTCTCGGCAGCCTGGGCTTCCCGCCAAGCTCTGCTGCGGGCGAGTAGAAAAACCCCAGCCGTCTTAGAATGGCTGGGTCCCCGGAGTAGCGGCGGTCCTCCGGTCGGAGGAATTGGGAGAACCGATTACAGTGAAAAGGGCGGGCGGAGACCCGGGGAGAGTGATCGTCATCCGGGAAGTCGCCACATCTTCTCCGCCAGCTTCTATGCCGCTACTCCGGTCTCCGCGCTGCGGCGTCGGAGTGGGCGAACGCTCGCCGTTCTTGCTCTCTGGCCTGTTTTCTTTCTTTCTTTCTTTCTTTCTTTCTTTCTTTCTTTCTTTCTTTCTTTCTTTCTTTCTTTCTTTCTTTCCTTCTTCCTTCCTTCTTTCCTCCCTCTCTCTCTCTCTCTCCCTCACTCCCCCTCTCCCCGCCCCACGTGTATGTGTGTGTGTGTGTTTTCTCTGCCTCGGAAAGATTCAGAGGCCATCTGGGGCGCTGGCGGGGCCCGATCCGTCTCCCAGACTTTCTTGGCAAAGCTCCGGCTCCGCCACCTGGCTTGGACTCGGCTTGTCTGAACTGCGCTAGACGCAGAAAGGAATGAGGCGGTTCGTGGGGTCCGTGGTTTCCCAGGCAACCCCCCCCCCCACGCTTCTTTGGCCTTCCAGGGACTCTCAAGCATTGGAAGGAAGAGGCCACCTGGCTTGGCAACGGGCCGCTCCGGTACCCTGCTTGCAGCTGCCTCCCTCCCTTCTGTCTCCTCGGGTCAGCTGCTGCTCCTCGCCCGAAACCCTAACTCCCCCAACCCCGCCGTCCCTGCGAAGAAGGCGGTGGTTCACCGAGCGCCGCCCGAAAAGCAGCTCCGTTGCACCCCGCGAGCCTTTGCCTGTCAAGGGCTGAGATTTGGAAATCTCCGCTCCTCCCTTGGGCGGTGGGTCTCGACAGGGATCTGGCTTCTTGTTTTTTCTTTTGTAAGGTTACAAAGTCCTGGTAACTGGGAGATCCTCCACNGAAGGGAACAGCTAAAGAACAGGGGTCAACTTATGAATAAGGTAGATGATGAATGGCCCCTCTCAGAGGAAATAAAAAGAGGAGTGAAAGGGGAGTGGAGTTTGCAGGAGACAATTAGTTTACTTCATTGGTTCGGGACTCTCTGAGACTCCTTGCCAAATTTTGCAGATATCGGCCTGGCAGCTCTCCAAGCCAGATAAGGTTTGTGACTGTAAATCCTCCCTTAAAAGACTTTGCTGGATGTGAATGATTAGAATTCACAATAAATTAATAAAAGGGGCTTTTGTCGGGATAAGGAGTTTCTTTCATGTTATTGGGAAGCCTCCGTCAGAACAGTCACCAAGTTTTTGATCCGGTGAGCTCTCAATTCCTCTAGGATGGTGAGTTTTAGCAATGGAATGGATGGTCTAGAATCATCCGTGTGCCCCAATGAGTTCTACAGAATGCTTACAGCATCACCCAACAGCAACAATGATAATAATAAACATCTGCCTATCCCAGGTCCTTGAGAAGAACTCTCTAGGTGGACAAAATGCCAAATCCAGACTAAACATCTGGCTGACTGTGGGACATGATAATGATGATAATGATGATGATGATGATGTCTTCAGAGACCCCAAAGCCCACCATGGTTGGACAAGCTGAAAGGAAACAAGAAGGCTGCCAGTGGCCAAGGAGATGGATTGGATTCTGACAGCAATGAATGATCCCCTGAGAGATTTCAGAAGGCCAACTGGGGAACGAGTAAAGCTGGAGAAAACCTATTCATGTCATTGCTAAGCATCAACACCAGCTGAGGGGCACTTCAGCCACCTCTTCAAATCTCCAATTCATTCTGGACTCTTGATTGACTCCACAGATACACAATCACACACTCTTCTCACGCTCCTGCTCCTTTCTAGGGTGCGTTTTCAACATTCTGGCTCCCCCTAATACCCCGGCATCTCCTAGTGGCCTCCCATCCAAGCACTGAGAGAAGAACAACAGGGGAAATGACATCAGGGCTCTGAATGAATCCTGGTGTCACCATGCCAGAGGCTCTCGGAAATTCCTGGCTTTACAAAAATGCATTGAAAGGCTCACTGAATCAGGGCCACTCCCTCCGTTCTTTCCTCAGAGACCCATGTCCTGACCTAGGCTTCCTTAAAAAGAAAGAAGCCGAATCTTGGTCCTGCAAAAATCCCTTTTATTTACATGACTGTGAAGTCAGCAAGGCTTTAGCAAACAGTCTTTCCAAGGAATATTTATCAACACGAACCTTATCTTGTTTGGAGAGCTGCCAGATAACTAGTTTCCAAACACATGGCAAAGCAACACTTAGTACAGAGTCTCTTATAGACACAAACAGAACTTTCCACTCTTGAACTGACTGAATGAACTAATTGTTTCCTACAAAAGCCCACTCCCCGTTCGCCCCCTTTTTGTTTCTTATGGGAGGGGCCAATAGCAATAGCAATAGCAGTAGACTTATATACCGCTTCATAGGGCTTTCAGCCCTCTCTAAGCGGTTTACAGAGAGTCAGCATATTGCCCC